TGAATGTTTCTGGGAGGATCCAATTGGAGGCCGCCTTCTCTCTGCTCTAGAGAGGACAGATCAGCTTATTCCTACCCACATGGGCCACTGCCCCTGGTGCTGTTCACCCCCTGAGGACACCTGGCTGAGTTCTGCTGTTGTCCTCAGTCATCTCTCTGTGATCCTTGTCCCTCCACAGGAGCAACTCTGTGGAACAGGCACTTCCTGACCCTGTTCTTCCAGCCAGAGGGCTCCTGAGCCTGCCAARGGAGAGGGGTCTGCCATACTTTGGGGACAAGTGGTCCAGCGTGACCTGCCTTTGATCCTTGACCTCTGCAGAGACCCTTGGGAGACCCGTGTCCTCATGCCTGACTCAGAGCCCTGTTTCCACGAGGTGGTGGGCAGAGACCAGCAGGCTCATAGTTCACACCCAGCCCATGGCTGGCTTGCCACATCTCCACATGCTCACCAATCAGAGCTAAGGGACCCTCAGTTCCAATGTGCAGCTCCAGACACACTCAGATCACTGCACTGGTCAGACGGCTGGTACATCACTGTATTAGTCTTCCTGGGCTGCTGTAACCAAACACCCAGACTGGGGCCTTCAGACCACAGACCCTGACTGCTCATTGATGACCTCAGGCCACCACCCAAGCTAACTCCACCTCTTCCTGATGGCCAAAGCCATCTCCAGCCCAGGGGATCTTGGGATAAGGAAAGAGATGGCAGCTGGCCATCGCTAGGAGCCCTGCTTCCTCCCCACCACCCATGCCGTGTGGAACACAAAGCCAGCACACTGGGCCAGCTGTGTCCCTTGTCACCAGCCCCCCTTGTAACCTGTGAGTTCTTCAGCATCCTCTGGGCTGGGTCACCTTCTTCAGACCCAGCCACACCCTTGACTCTATTGACTTTGTCGCCCAGGTCCTCACAGAGGCTCCATGTTCTTAGGTGTCAAGCTTTCAATTCTGCAGTTGTATCAACAAAATAATTCCTTTAATTACTATTATTACTATTGGTACTGGGGATCCAACCTGGGGTGCTTAACCACTGAGCTACATCCCTAATCTTTTTTTTTTCCATTATTGAGGTTAATATGACAGGCTGTATTGGCCCCAAGTGGCAAATTTTTATGTTTTATAAGCGAGCTTTCTTGCAGAGCTGAGCAGGGTTATTGTTTCTTTGTGGTTTGACTATCAGTTGAAACCCAGGAAGCTGAGAGCCCTGGGTCAGCTTCTGGGGGTACATTGCTTCTTAGGCACGATGCAGATGGGCTTGTGGCTTTTCTGGAAAATGTTGGTGCATCTGAACCCTGACATGGAAAGAGTAGACAAGAGGGGGACTTTATACTGAGAGAAAATATTGAGGTCAGTCTGTGCAATAGAATGACATG